TACACACACATATATTTAAATTTTAAAAAGGAATAGCAAGTGAGCTCTTATTTAGAAGATATTTAGAAGTGACAAGAATTATGGGGCACAGTTAAGAAAACAAATTGCTTTTTAGAAGGATAATATTCCTGATTTTGAAATGTGTCTATATTTAATTTGAAAATGTGTAAATTTAAGACATATTAAAAACCCAAACTATAAACTTTTCCATGCTAATAGCTCATTAGAATTGCTTTCTCTTTTCTATTAGACATAAGAAAGTAACAAATAAAACTATTACCTCCTGTCATTTTAATTTTAAAATAGGATACTTGCCGAGTCCTATGATAGGCTTAAAAACAAAGCAGGTAGAATCAGTGTCAATTTGAAAGAAAGATTTTCTTTAAGTTGTAGTCCAGATGATCCTGTTGTTAAAAAAAAAAGCACTGTGAAATCAACTTCTGATTTAAAGTATTTTAATTTTAACTGAAATAGTTTATGTGACCATACTGGGCAACATAAAAAATTGAGGGGCCCTCCCTGGTGCGCAGCAGTGCCACTAAGAAGCTTAAGCCAATTTCGTGTGTGTTTGATCCCTGCCTTCCCCCGGAGAAGATCCACATGGCGTGGCAGACCTCTCCTGACCCGCCCACTGCTCCCTTCAGCAGTGTACTTCGTCCATCTGCCTGTTCTGCTCCCCAGTCTGTTCCTGGTGAATCCTCTCACCCTCCGCATCTCTGGCCTGTACCTCAGTTCTGTCTGAATAAATAAATAAATCTTTAAAAAAAAAATTGAGGATTCTATTTTTCTAATATTCATGCTGACTTAAGAATGAATCGGTGAAAAGAATCACCACTATAATGTCTTACTCATCTTGACCTTTGATCAGGATAGAAGTAGAGAGCAAAAGCATTAAGGGAAATTCATTCACAGTGGTTACCTCTTAAAAAATCCCAACACACAGAAAACCTAAAATATGAACTAAGCTAAAAGAAATGATGAATCAAAATGCCTGTACTTATAAATCTAGTTCATTTAATTAAGGATATAATTCTAAAAAAGAGGCATGCTTCCTTTTTTTGTTTGTAAAATATTACCTGCAGTAATCAAATCCAGTCATAAGTATTTTTTTCATTAGTTAATAAACACAGTTTTAAGACAAATGAAACAAAAGTTATCCATATAGAAGCAGATAAAGTGCATTCTAAGGGTACACAAGCACTGAGGTAAATTTCAGAAGTTTTCATTTCTTAGTAAACAAATACTGATGTGTATTTGAAAATTATATTTTTCAAAGTGGAAAGGTTAAGAGTCAATAATTTATTTTCATTTTTGTCACTTTTGCAATCTCTTGGGCATATTTTTTATTATACTCACGTCCTGTATACTAGTCTCATGTTCATCAGTAATGGCTTGGGAATTCTGTTCTTTGATCACCAATTTAGTATGTCTTTTTGGTCCAAGAAAATCTTTTGAACTAGTGGGAGCAGTCCTAGTAGATTTGCTAGTAAGTTGATTTTCTCCTCTGGAACCAGACAGAAGGGTTTGGGTATTTATCAGTGCAAGTTCTTCATCAGCTATTGAATCGTTTTCCAAAAGACAAACATCATTAAACTTTTTAAGTGGAGTCATCTGAGGAGAATTCAATTCTTTTTTTTTTATAGGTGTTTCATATTTGTTGTCACAACTCCGTGGGGGCTGAAATGCCTTCTGTGCAGCTGGAGAAACAAATGTACAAATGGGACTAACAGGTGGAGGTAAAGGCAGTCTACTTAAGAAATCCAAGGCTCTTCTCTTTTTGCAGTTTTTGGGATCATCAATCTCTTTTCCTTCTTTTGAAGTCATTTGGGCTGATACAGGTGTAGAAACAGACATTCCTTTTGGCTTACAAAGGGATAGTGGAGTTCGATAATTGATCTCTCTATTGGTAGGAGACACCTAATAAAAATATAAATTAAATTAAAAGAAAGTAGCATATATAATTATGTACCAATACATAAAATAAGCTTTTCACTAAAAATATTTAAACACGCCACTTATATTCTTGCTCCCCCCATGGCTGGTTAATAGGACAGATGACTCCCAGGGACATTCATGAAATCATAAAATAGTTTTGTGTAAGAGACTATAAAGATGATACAAAAAGAAAGAAGACTTTTGTCTTTTGTTAAAGACAAAAAAGAGATAGAAGACATAACTTGTGCTGTAGTCTTTATTACCAGGTCAGACAAACATTTAAAATCCATTTTAAGAACATAGACCTCCTGGGTTCTAATACCTATTTTCTAACATGATGTTAGGCAATATTTAACCTTCCTATGTCATATTTTTGTAATTTTTATCTCAGTGTTACTGTGGATATTAAATGAGCTATGCAGGTGTAAGTGGCAAATGGCACTAGCCAATATTACAAATTATAGCTTAATCTACACTGGTGATTTAAGGAGTAAATTGAGCTTAAAAATAACCCTAATTGTTAAAATAGTCCTCCTAGAAAAAGGACACATGCATAAGATTCTAGTACTTGGAATGCTAAAAAATGAAAACACCTGATTGTAAAAGTTGCCCTCAGAGGGTTACATTCTAGTTTTGGTAAACAACATAGAATTTCCAGGTAAACTAATCATACTTTCTAATTAAATTAAATTACATTTTACCATGTTCTTAGATAAACACCATAATATATTATTGTCTTTAAAAGTAATAAAGGTTATTGGCCCTCCCTGGTGGCGCAGCGGGTTAAAGCACTGCACTGAGAAGCTAAAGCCACTTCCGCATGAGTTCGATTCCCGCCTGCCCCGGAGGAGACCACATGGCGTGGCAGACCTCTCCTGACCCGCCCGCTGCTCCCCTCAGCAGTGTACTTTGTCTATCTGCCTGTTCTGTTCCCCACTGTCTCTGGTGAAGCCTCTCACCGCCCCTGAGCCTCTGGCCTGTACCCCAGTTCTGTATGTACAAATAAATAAATCTTTAAAAAAAAAAAAAGTAATAAAGGTTATTAAATTCACATAACTTACCAGAAACTTACTTCCTGTACCAAGGGTTGTTTGCGCAGTATGTGACTCTGAAATATAGTTTTTAGTCAGAGTAGAAAACTTGGTATCATTTGCATTAAGTATGTGCATAAGCTTGTCTTCTGCATCATTGCAAAATATCTCAATATTCTAAGAAAACAGATTGGAGAAACTGGTAAAATGTAAACATACACATTCTTGTTTTCAGAAAGGGTGATTTAAAATCAGAAATAAACATACCAAAATAATAGAATGAGATTGCTACTGTGAAAAAATAAGCCAGTGCAAAAAGAAACATAAAACCAGTAAACTAAAGGAAATTAGTTGTTGGAGAAAGACAGGAGGTATGTATGTATATTTCAGAGGGAAAAAAGTAATTTTTCTTAACCCCCAATTCAATTAGCGAGATATAATAAGATACTGGACACCAAATATTCTTATTTCCTAACATCATATATCAATATCTAAAGTACTTATCTGATTAGTAGTAAAGTGATGGAACTGCCTCATATATGTACTAAGAATTGAAATGATGTGTAAGTTAAACTATGTGAAACATGACTTGTTTCAGAAGTCATAAATGGTTACCATCAATTTCAAATGGCTTAACTTAAATCATGAAGACATTTTGTAAAACTTTAAAATACTATATAAATGAGTTAGCTGTCTCTAACTACCCTTGAATTATTTGTGAGAAACTTGGAATGTAAACAGTAGTTACTCTAACTTACTCTGTAGCTGAATGATAAATATATACGGTCTGCCCCTCAAATTAGAAAGCTGGTAAATCAGGATGTTACTCTTACAATGTGTATTGCATTGTTAGGTAAAATAGTACACAAATTTCCTTTATATAACTACTTTAGTGCATGTAAATATATAAATTTTATAGATTCTTTATCAGCAATTCAAGAAATTTTATAGGGAGGCAGCACTGCATAGCAAATAATGTGCTTTCAGAAGGTATGAATATGGATCCTGGTTTTAACAGTTTGACCATGTGACTAACATTCATGCTACTTACTGAAAAATGGAAAAACAGTTCCCTACCTCATAGATTTGGTGGGAGAATTAAATGAGACAGACTTAGAATAAGACTTGATATGTAATAAGCACTCAAAAAACTTTAATATACATACTGTATGTAGACATAAAATATATATAAATCCTATAATGTACATAGACATAAGCACAAAATGCATTCCCTATGACCTAGGGAAAATAACTGTAGTGTCCTATAAGGATTATTAAAATTTAATATAGCTATAAACTGTATAAATACTATAAATACTAGTTATGTAGTTTAAAATGTAAATTTGGAGTCTAATTACACTGTTGACTGTGAACCACGGGTAACTTATATTAATGCAAATAAAAATTTCGTTTGCCCATGTGGTCAGTAGTTCTGATTATCTTGATATTCTCTCAGATCATTCTTTTCTACTCAGTAACTGTCATTCCCCCTATTTCCTCAGTTTCATTAGCAATTAATATATGACATGCCACCTTACATTAACCATGACTATCCAATTTTCATAAGACACCAGTTCCTTGATAACTGACCATTAAAAAGGAAAATACCAAAATTAGTGGTAATGCTCAAAACTGATTTTACCTTAACAGTTTTTTTCATTTTGTGAAATTTCTCTTGAAAATGTCCTTCCTTTGGACTGGCAGAAAACGTGGAAAAATCTCCAGCAAATAAAATAGGAATTCCTGATTTGGATTCTGGTCGCCACTGGAGGTTGCTTGCAGCTATTAACATGTGAGGTTTAATAATGTCTTCATGAAGATCTATCCAAAACTTTATTGCCAAAAAATTATGGCATTCATCTGACAAGTAGACCAAAGGAGCAAGACCTAAAATGAATAAAAATTTTCATATAGTATGTTAGATAAATTTTACAATGCAAGGAACTCTAGTATGTCCATTTATTTTGGTATGCTAATAGTGAAAACAAATGAAAGCAGCTACATTTGTAGAAAGCTCAGGATTTCCAAAATGACCTATTCATTAAAGTGCTAGGGCCTCCCTCATGGTGCAAGAGATTATTAAAGCACAGCACTATGATGCTGTAGCCACTGCAGTATGAGCTCAATCCCTGGCCAGAGAGGTGACCCACATGGCACAGCAGACCTCTTCTGTCTTGCCTGTTTACTCCCTCAGCAGTGTACTTCAGTCAGTTGCCTCCTGCTCCCCACTCTGTCTCTGGTGAATCCTTTCACTCCCCTACACCTCTGGCCTGTACCCCAGTTCTGTATGAATAAATAAATCCTTAAAAAAAAATAACATGCTAAAATAAATGCCAATAGAACAATAACACATCTGTTACAGAAGCGGATATTACACTGTTGGTGGGAGTACAAACTTGTGCAACCCTCTGGAAAAAAAAAAAAAAAAAAGCTGGTAATACCTAGTAAAGGAACAGATACACTTACCCTTTCACCTAGCAATCCACTCTCAGTACCCTTCTACTCTGAATAAATAGTAAGTGCAAAAACACTAAGATGCCAATACTCAGATACATGTGAACTTGTGCACACAAATATGAAAACACAAGGTTAAATGGATGGTACCAGGTTATTCACTGAAGCACTGTTTGTAAATATAACCATTGAAAAGCTCTTGTATTAGTTCATAGGCAGGAGCACAGTGCCTCCATACAATGGCATCATGCTGCTGTACCAAAGAGTAAGGAAGATATATCTATGAACTAATTTCCAAACATAGAGTAAAAAAGGAAATGGACAAAAGATTAGTTTGTTGCCCTCCTTACAAGAAAAAAGAATGAGAAAATATATCTGTATCTGTCCACTTGTGCAAAGAAAAAAAAGGCAACTAAACCAGAAACTCCAGGGATAAGGTGTAGGAAAAGGAGGAACAGCACTGAATTAGCTGAATTAGCATGGATGTGGGAAACACTTCTGTGCAGACTTCCTTTTGTGTATCTCTGATTCTGAACCATAGTGTTATTTCATATACCCCTCATAGTTTTCCATATTTCCTTAGTGTCCCTTCTTTCCTCTCTGTTGATCCTTAAAGTCCAAAATCCCTTTTTCATACATTCTCAAATTCTTTGTCCCTCTTGCTTTGTGTTCTCACCAGGTTAAACTACAAGTCTAGTTATTTCCCATTTTCACCTGCATAATCACTTAGCATCAGGGAAATGCAAGTCTAAACCACACTGAGATGAGATCTCATACCTGGAACTAACAGAGTTGGTGAGAATATGGTACACTATTGATAGGAATGTAAACTGACTCAGACCCTATGAAAAACAGTATGGAGATTCCCCAAAATATTAAAAAGTAGATTCACCACATAACCCAGCAATCCCATGCCTAAGTGTCTACCTAAAGGATGAAAAAACATGAAATATGTGTTCCTGTGCTCATGGTAGCACTATTTACACTGGCCAAGTTTTGGAAAGAACTTAAGTGCCCAAGGACAGAAATGCATTAGAAAGACACAGACACAGACACAGACACAGACACAGACACAGACACACACACACACACGGGTACAACTCGGTAATTAAAAAAAGGTGAACATTTGCCACATGGAGGAGATAATGCCAACCAAAGCCAGAAGGAGGACAAATACTGGGTGCTTTCACTTACTTGTGGAATAATAGATACAAAACAAAGGGTCAGAAAAGAAACAAACCAGCAACAAACCCTAGAAATCTTACTGTAGAATTTAAGGTACCAGTGGCAGAGATGGGAGAGATATACAGTTGGGGAGATACAATGAACTATGGAGGAGACACAATGTGGGTAACTTGGTGGTGAGTTTGGTATGGTGACATGCCATCTAACCAGGTATGACCCTATGCCTCTGAATCACAATCACTGTTACAAAACAATGTCACATCAATTGCCAATCAATCAATGGTAAGTGATGTCAAGCATAAAACAAACTCCAAGTGATATAGTTTAAAAATGGACAGCAGATCTAAAAAGGATATTTACCAAAGGTGATATATACATGGAAAAACTTAACAAGGGAGATGCAAGTCAAAACCACAATGAGATACCATTTTATACCTGTGAGAAGGGCATATACTGAAAAGACCCCCAACAAGAGCTGGTGAGGATGTGAAGAGGGACATTGACACATTGTTGGTATAAATGTAAGCTATTGCAGCCATTCTGGGAAGGAATCAGTGCCTAAAAACCTCAAAAGATAAACACCCCGTATGATGTAGCAATCTCATGTTTTAAAAATATATATATTTATTTATTTATGCATACAAGAACTGGGGTACAGGCAAGAGGTGCGAGGATTAAGAGGAACCACCGGAGAATGAGTGGGGAGAACAGGCAGATCAACTGAATTACACTGCTGAGGGGAGCAGCGGGTGGGTCAGGAGAGGTCTGCCTTGCCATGTGGGTCAGCTCCCCTGCTGGCTGGCTGGCAATCAAACTCATGGTCAGTGGCTTTGTAGTGCTGTGCTTTAACTAATAGTGGTACCAAGGAGGGCCCAGCAATCTCACTTTTACGTATCTATTTAAAGAGTACCAAACCATAAACTTAAAAATTATATGCTCCACAATGTTAACTGTACCATTGTTAAAATAGCTAGGATTAGGAAGCAACCTATGTGACCAGCAAAAGAATACTGATTAAAAAGATTTCATATAGCAACACAATGGAATACTATTTAGCTGTAAGGAAAAGATGGAATGCTACTATTTACAACAAAATGGAAGGAACTTGAGGGAATTATGTATACCAAAGTAAATCAGAAGGTTCAAGACAAAATTTAGATGATTTCACATATATCAGTAAAATAAAGACTCAAAGTAAAGCTATTATAGTCTGCAGACACTAATAACCACAGTGGAATCTCTAAGTGTGGAGGAAAGGGATAAAAGGGTCAAGGGATTAAGGTAGTGACCAAAAAAACAAAACAAAACAAAACAAAACATATATATATATATTCTTGCAAACCAACTGTTACTAAATTTTCTGAATGGTAGTTCCAATTAATCTTGAAGAATATAAAATTTAAAATAAAATGTTTTCAAAAGCATCAATAAAAAGCTATAATTACATATACAGTATATTACCTATTTTTTTCACAACAGAAATGACAAATCCTATTAGGTCAACCTCAGAACAAGGTGGCTGGAAGTCTGCATCCAATAATTTGTTGAAGTGAAGGGACTCCCTGGGCTGATAAACTTGGAGCAGAAATTCATCTGAAGACTACAAGAAAAAAGTATCAGTATATATAGATCCTATAAACTAATATACATTTATGAAAATTAAAAAATTATAATGAAAAGTTTGTACCGGTAGTTGTTGATACTGAGTCTTTTTTGTTGCTGTTAACTGTATGTTAGCTCTTTCAGATTTACTTTTAGGTTTTGATGTTGCAAGATGGTAGATTCTGTACCTTTTCCCTTCTACTAATAGGGAATGTAAATCTGATGATGGACGCCAGATATTCAATATAACTAGAAAAAAAGAAGAACTAAACTGAAGAACTAAAATGAAAAATAAACACTGATGACAAGAAAGATCTATGGATATGTTATATGTTATCATTTTTGTTAGTCCAATTTTGTTCCTCTGATGTATGCTAACTTTGGATGTTTAAACTAGCATTTGAAATACTTTTATTAATAAGATACTATTTCTAACTTAACAAAACAAACAAAAAATTTAATACTGACCTGAGTATTTTTCTTTTTTTCTATAGCTTATGATACGTAGCTTCCATACAGTTTTAACATCTCTTGATAAAATTTGTTCCCCCTTTTCAGCAGATTCCACAGCCTTCCTGAATTCCATCTGGATCTGTGCTTGCTTCTTATCATTCAACATCTGTCTGTGGTTATTTAAGGCTTTTAACTGCTCTTCACTAAAATAATCCTGTGATTATTTAATATATTAAGGCAGATGATATTAACATAAAGAGCAAGACAAAAGCAAAACATTATCTACTGTAACAGACTTGAGTTCACTCATTGTGTGTAACAATATAAAAATTGTGATTAGCATACTTAGTGATTTATCATATTACACATTTTCAGGTGTCTCAGTTGTTTATTAATATTTGTGACAAATTTTACCTTGGACCAAAACAATACCCAATCTATAAAGATACTTTAAAAATCAGCGCTCCCTGGTGGTGCAACGGGTTATGATGCAGCACTGTAAGCCAGCAGCAGCCACTTCAGTGCGAGTTGGATCCTCAGCCCCGGAGGTGATTCACATGCCATGACAGACCTCTCCTGACCCATCCAGTACCCCTCTCAGCAGTGTATTTCAGTACATCCGTCTATCCTGATCCCCACTCTGTCTCTGGTGAAGACTCTCACCACCCCTGCACCTCTGGCTTATACCCCAATTCTGTATGCATAAATAAATCTTTTTAAAAAAAAGCTTTAAAAATCATAATCATTCAACATCAACTTTATAAATGGCTAACATTTGAATATTTGCTATATATGAGAAATGTTTTTTAAAATTTTAATCTATTTTTGTGTAGAAGAACTGGGGTATAAGCCAGAGGTATGGGGTGGGAAGACTCACCAGAAACAGTATGGGGAGCAGAACAGGGGAATTTACTGAAATACACTGCTAAGGTCAGCTGCAGGTGAGACAGGAGACATCCATTGTGACATATGTGGGTTAGCTCCCTGCGCAGGGATTGAACTTTAGCCATAGAGGTTTAAGTGCTGAGATTTAACTCCTGGCACATCAAAAAGGTCTGGCTATGTGCTTTAATGCATTAATTCTATATGGTAAATGCATTAATTTACCTAACTCTTATAGTAACTATAATACCTACAGGCAGATACTGTTATTGTTTCCATGTGACACATGATGAAACTGAGGTACAGAGAGAACCAATAACTTGCAAAAGTATATAGGTAAGAATTGACAAGGGAATCCCCATTCTAAAACCTCAGCAGAATTAATAAAATTTAGAACAGTACTACAGTACTTTATTTTGCATCTACATTTCTCTGAACTATTTCAGCAAATTACTCTTTGTACATAATGAAAATCTCACCCAATATAATAATATACAGGAAAAGCAAAACAGGAAATAATAGTATAATATACTAGACTGTTGCTGTCTTAACACATCTTAATATCTTAATTTATACTGGGGAGACCATGAAATCCTACATATCCTGCAAAAGTCATTCTAATATGTAGTGCCCTTAAACATGAATTAAAAAATAAACACATCAGTTGTGATTTCAGAAGTTCACTGAAAACAAATCCACTCGAAGTTTTATTTTAGAAATCAATGGCTATATTTGCCTTCAAGAATTACAGTCTTATCGAAGTGAAATCTCAGAGTACCATATAAACTGTGATCCATAAAAGTAGCCACTCGTGGATATTTCCTTGATAAAAAGTGGGAATGATACCAGGAGGTAAATCGTTTGTCCAGTGATTCATCACAAAGTTAGGAGGGCAAGATCTACCACATAGTTCTCCATCTTTTAATTTACTGTCCTATTTCTTCTACATAGGTAAATTCCATAAAAGGAAATGAGACTAGTAAGTATTAAATTTTGTAGATGAAAATAGAATTATCTTCATGAAGAGTCAGAGAGCACAAGCTTCAATAAATATAATAAGAAAGGACTGTCCCTGGTGACGCAGAGGGTAAATGCAGCACTGAGAAGCTAAAGCCACTTCAGCACCAGTTCGATCCCCACCTGTCCTGGAGGTGACCCACATGGTGTGGCAGACCTCTCCTGACCGGTCCGCTGTTTCCCTCAGCAGTGTACTTCGTCAGCGGGCCTATTCTGCTCCCCTCTCTGTCTCTGGTGAATTCTCTCACCTCCCCTGCACCTCTGGCCTGTACCCCAGTTCTGTATGCATAAATAAATAAATCTTTAAAAAAATATATATAAGAAAGGTGGAAGCACATTTTCCAGGATAGCAGAAAAGCAGGATAGGCTTCTTTTTTTTTTTAAAAGATTTCTTTATTTATGCACACAGAACTGGGTGGGGTACAGGCCAGGGGTGCAGGGGTGGTGAGAGGATTCACCAGAGACAGAATGGGGAGCAGAACAGGCCCAATGATCTAATTTGATGCTAAGATAATATATTTTATTGTTATTGTTTGTGCCCAATTTGTTTAGCTAATAATAAATGGTAGATCTATGATTCGACAGCCTATGATATTTCCAATACATTGTATATGCTTCTGAAATTTCTACCAAGGTATCCTTAAAATAGAGAATTATGAAATAAACTCTTACATACAAGCTGAGAACAAGAAAACTAAGACATTACTTTGAAAGTACTTGTTTTACATTAAAAAAAAAAGTTGCCTAAATTTTAAATCACCTTTATTTAATATGTACAATTAGTTAATCTTCTCATTCTCTGCTTGGTATAGAATAACATACCACATTGGTTTGACAGATAACTGGGTGTCCTAGAAATACACACATCCCCTTTGTAAAACACGGCATTTTAATATGCTGCTTACTGTAATTCAGAAGACAGGACAATTTCCCATATGTAAAAATGAAGATAAAATTTCCTTCCATGCCCTCGTTATTACCCACTAGAACTTGCTAAACTAACCATCCTGCTACTGAGTCCTCAAGCTAATAGAATTTCAGTTCATCACAAGTGAGATACATATTCTCTACACTGCAAAGGCTTCCTGTCTTCAGGCAATGGTTCCACAACCAGATGACAGCTGATGGCCAGCCAGACACAGATGACAGAAGATTGGCCTACAAGTTATCTAGGTTTCATTAGCCCACTAAAATGAGTACCATTAGGTTGGAGACCGAGGATGCCAATGTATGCAGACTCATAATGTAATACATGACACAGCATGTAGTGTTTTTGTCTATGCCTAAGTAGAGTCCTGACCAAAACATGCTACCATGTAATTTCCTGCTACCTTTCCTGGTAATCAATCCTATGAAAATAGGACCCACACTACTCTTATGTTGGGAGCACAGCCCAGGAAACTTCCTGTCCCTAGTCAGTTAAAATCTCAAAACTTGTGGGGAATGATTAATGGTTGAAAAACAAGGACCCTGGGGAATCATAACACTCTTAACTGTCTCACCTCAAGGTCACTTAAGTCTGGGTCATTTTTGACTGCTTCATAAATCTCGGCACCGTCTTGCAAAGCACAGATTTGCTGCCTTGTTAGTACAGATGATGATATACATTGTTTTCTTATATTTTCTAGGAAAAAAAATACTACCAATTAGCTAAGTCACAAATTTAAGAACACAGAAAACAAGAGCACCAAGTAAAAAATGACCCAAAGAAAAAAGGCTGACAAATAAAGTTATTTATCTGTTAAAAGTATTTTAGGAAAATTTGAAACAAGTATATTCATGGTTTAAAAAATTATACAAAGAGTGTAATTTTAAATTAAGTACATACTTTCATGATTCACAGTCATAAAAACAGAGTAAGTGTAATAATTATAAGTATGTGCAAAAGTTACAGAATGTAGATAAGAACATTAACATAAGAGAATGAAAATAGGTTAATGAAAAATAACTTGATAGCTCTTAACCTTGTTAATCTCTAATACCAAAAAAGATACTAGCTTATCACTGAAGTTTATGATGGTTTTCTTAATTTCTGAAAACTGTTTTATGTTTTATTGTCTAATATAATTTATAAGTATCTAAAGGCTTAGTGTTGAATAAAATGTGATTAACTGGGGCCTGTTGAATTCTTATCTGTATATATGTGTAATGATATAATTTAAAGAGTGAGAAAAAAATGAGATTCAGAATTAGAAAAAATAACTATTATTCAAAATAAAATTCACACATTGCAAAAGTTACAATTAGGAGCCTCGAAAACTTTTTAGCAATAAGCAAAAATCCTTTAATTTATAACTCATTTTACCTTCATGCTTTTCGAATTCTGCTTGAATTTTAGTGAATAAAGCTTCCAGTTTCTTTTGTTGGGCCTCTGCGTATTTTGTGGCTTCCTTTTCCTCTTCTCTTTCATTTCGAAGTATGTACAATCCGGATGATGTTTTCTCCATCCACTGTAATAATGTGCCAAAAAACAAAACAAAACAAAAACTCAGGAAAGGGAGGGCTCATTCAAATTATTTATCTCAAAATAAAGCAGTACACAGAAAGTTTTAAGAATGCATCATAGTGGGCCTCCCTGATGGCTCAGGGTTAAAGACACAGCACAATCAAGCTACTGCCAGCCACTGCAACATGAGTTCAATCCCAATCAGCCAGGCAGCTGACCCACAAGGCGCAGCAGACCTCTCCTGTTGTGTTGCTCCCCTCTGCATTGTATTTCAGGACATCTGCTTGTTCTGCTCTCCAGTGTCTCTAGTGAATCCTCTTTCCAACCCCCACCCCCCCCCACCACCTCTGGCTTATATCCCAGTTCTTGTATGCATAAATCAATCAACCAAAAAAAAAGTATCATACCTGTAAAGGGTATGCTCTTTGAATAATTACATCAACACAACCAACATTTCCTCCATCGCTGAAGAGTGATGACAAGGGGAGAGGAAAAGGTCTTGGATCAGTAGAGAATCCAAGTTTGGCATACCAGCAAGCAGGCCGAGTACTGTTGGCAGAAATCTGGATAAATTCATGAATAAACTGATTTATAACACAAATATATGCAATGCTATTTTAACATTTTTTATTCTTTTATGGCTGTTTTAAAAACATTTATTTTAGGCCCTCCCTGGTGGCACAGCGGGTTAAAACACTGCACTAAGAAGCTAAAACCACTTCCGCATGAGTTCGATCCCCGCCTGCCCCGGAGGTGACCACATGGCGCAGTAGACCTCTCCTGACCCACCCAATGCTCCCCTCAGCAGTGTACTTCGTCGATCTGCCTGTTCTGCTCCCCACTCTGTCTCTGGTGAATCCTATCACCCTCCGCATCTCTGGCCTGTACCCCGGTTCTGTATGAATAAATAAATCTTAAAAAAAAAACAAAACAAAACATTTATTTTAAAGTCTCACTAATTAAGAAAGTAGGTAAGAAAAACAATGAAAGTAAAAATACTTTCAAAATACAGTATCTAAAAACATTGTTCATACTGCTATAAAATCGTTATGTAAGAATTACTATTAGAAAATTATTAAAAGAGACTTCAATTTAAATAGGAGTGATTAACACATATTTACTTACCTGTGTTCCCACAAAAATCTACAAGGACAAAGAGAACTGCAGAGGATAAATCGCTGATGACATATTACCAACATTTTGGAAGTTAAAAATCTGTTGGACACTATATACCAGAGACATTTTATGGGGCTGGAATGGGTAATGGGATCAAAAATGGTGGGGAGAGAAAGTGCAATGGACTATGGTGATGGCACATGGGTGATCTGGTGATGGGAAGCCCATAGGGGTTACAACTGAGATGGAAAAGGCACAAAATGATGTAAAAATAAACTATTATTAAAAAAAAAATCTGTTGGACAAGTGTTAATTCATAAAGCAACCTGAGAATGACTACAGTTAATAAATACAGCAAACATTCACCACTTATTATGGTGACCTGGTATAATTAAATGCTTTATTTACATTAACATTTAAACTTCACAACAACTTATTTTGATTTTTCAGACCACAAAACTGAGCTATAAATGTAATTATAAAGCCTGCCCTGGATTTCTCAGTTAGTGAACTTCTATTTAGCCAATAAAAAAATAAAATGACATAAGGAAAGCTCTCAAGAAATTGGAGAGAACAGAGTACTCAGGGTACTTCTGAAGGTAGGAATGTGAGGTGTGGCTGAAAATAGAAGAGATTTTTGAAATTTTGTATAAAATTAAGATTGCAGATTTCCTTTCATATCTCAAGTAGTCAGGTGATTATCCTCTCCTCATACCAAATAAGTCAGGAATTTTTGGCAGGGAGTCTACCACTTACACTAAAGTTACAGTCAATTTTTAAGAAATTCAGCATCCTACAGTAAAAAAAATTTTTTTTTTAAATTTATTTGTTTGTATAGAACTGGGGTACAGGCCAGAGGCTCAGGGGCGGTGAGAGGCTTCACCAGAGACAGAGTGGGGAGCAGAACAGGCAGATCGATGAAGTACACTGCTGAGGGGGGGAGCGGGCGGGTCAGGAGAGGTCTGCTGCGCCATGTGGATCTCCTCCAGGTGGGAATCAAATTTCTGCGGAAGTGACTTAAGCTTCTTAGTGCTGTGCTTTAACCGGCTGAGCCACCAGGGAGGGCCCCCTACAGTAAAATTTTAAGAAACCTTCCTTGGTGGCCTAGGGATTAAGTTTTAGCACTATCACCTCTATTGTTTCATTTTGACTTCCAGCCCATGAGCTAACTCATAGATGGTGCAGCAGACCTCTTCTGTCTTGTTCGCTGCTCCCCTCAGCAGTGTATTTCAGAATTCACCTATTTTGCTCCCATTCTGTCTCTGGTGAGTCTTCTCACTCCCTATACCTCTGGGCTAACACCCCAGTTCTTTTAAGCCCCTCTCCAAAAAACACTTCAGCACCCTTTTATAAATAAATGAAAAGAATTTAATGCGAAACCTCTCAATTTAACTGAAACAGTGATTAATTTTTACGAAGATATACTTAAATTATATTTACCTTTAACATGAGAGTTTCTGGGGCTTCAAGAGGTGAACAGGCATCAGGAGAGCCCACCAGTTCTGCTCCATGAATAATGATCTTTTGACCCACAATCAGCCTACCATTGTTTAAGAGAGCTAAAAGGGGAGGATCTAACTGGGCCTTAATGGCATACCATCCATCTGTAAGTTCAATAACGTTCCCTTTTTTTGTATTCACACTACTAGTTTTACAAGAAGAAGATTCAGATATATTTGTGCTTGGTGAAATTATTTTAGAAATACAGAGAACAAGTGTTTTTTCAGCTGTGTCATCCCTTTCCATTATCTTTTTTATTGCTGATCTTCTGCTTCTATCAATTTCCACATCATATCTAAAAAAAAATGCAAATTTTAAGTATTACATTCTTTAAAAGTCATCAAATAACAGAATAAAAATTAATAATTTTTATTGAAATGAGATGGAATTTAAAATATGGTATCTTGTAATAATTTATAAAATATTAAAACCAAAAAATGCAAAAATTTTTGCAATTTTGGAAGAGTGAATTAAAAAAGTAATTCTTATTTCTTCACATGTCAAGAGGTTAATGGGGGAAAGGGAGAAAACCAAGAGATATACCAATGTGTGATTACTCTTGTGTTGGGATGACAAGAGAATGACTCTGTATTATCATGAATAGCAGAGAGGGAAGGAAGCTGTCATCAACAACTGGCTCATGCACCTCTATGACACTAAAATCACAGACTATATAGAAATCTGTGCCATATTAGCATGTGATTACACAACTTAATGCCTTAAACTTGCCTGTATTTCAGTTGAAGAAGGACTCTTTCAGGGTTTAGGCATCTATTAGCAAATTCCCTAGGAAAGGCAAATTCCATAGCTGCCAGTTTCCATATAATCCATCTGTAATGATTATAGACCCAAACTCTTGAAATAAGCTTTGGATCCACACCTGGGGTATCACACAGAGCACTGAAAAAATGAAAGTAGAATAAGTAACAAAAAAACACATTAAATGATACAAATTCAAAAGTCACTGCTATTCTGTGCACCAAAAAAAAAATCACATTGTACAAGATTATTTAATAAGTTTATGTGTTAATGTAAAATCAAATAGGAATGTAGTTTCAGAAAATATGACTATCAAAATATGCTCATAAAAGCTTCACTGCAGATATTAGTCAATACAATTATTTCAACTGGTAAGTGAGATCCTTAGTTTAAAGTTATTATAGTCAGGTTATACTTTTTATAAAAGAGGTTGCTTTTAGGAGTCATCTTAGAAATCCCTTTTCTAGTCCTGGTGCTCTTAATATCTTCCCCTTTCTGCTCAAATTTCTAATTCTTTCCTTTCCTATTTTCACACTAAAAAGACAGAAATAATTAAAAAGAGAATCTTCATAAACTCCCAACCTCATGTTGAATAACATGATCTCAGCTCAGTGAGCCAGAGGACCTCCATGTTGCTGCGGCAGGCCTCTGTACTTGCTACCTCCCCCGACTCTATACCAGGAAGAACAGTTACCAGAAAAGTTTCAGGACCTCTATCTATAGGGGCGGGGAGAGCACGGGTGGGGCAAGGCACACTCAGACCTCTATCTATGCTATCTATAGGAAGCACCCCCCACACCCACCCCCGGGTGGGAGAGGCACACAGGGTACTGGCTACTGGCAGATTAGAACTTCTTGGAACATGACAACACAATCTATGTGTGCAGTTTGAATTATGCTTTACTTTGAATTACGCGGGCTCAGGCCCATTTTGCGCAGGGTATGACGCAAATAGTGGCTATATCATCCGGGGCATCTCCCCTGTCCGGGTTTTGCTTGCTCGGCCTTGGCCTGAAGCTTGACCCCAGCTAGCTGGCTTAATAAAACTCTGCTTGCAGTTTGCATTACTGATAGGACTCTGTGATTCCTTGGAACTTGTGACACGGGACCCTAACACCCAATGTCTATGCTTTTATACTTCGTTATCTCCTTACATTTGCACACTAGTTCCCTTCCTGCCTGGACAAGGACAGTGAGCTAGCAAATGGATGGTCTCTCTCTCTCTCAATCATCCCTTTCTTTCCTTTTTATCAGGTGAGTTCCATAAACATTAAGAATTTTTCCACCTTAAAAACAAGCTGAACAAAACTAACATCCTTTGATCGTATTTACTTCTCCAGATACTGCCTCTCTGCTGCTGCTGCTTCTTCTTCTTTTTTTTTTTTTTTTTACCAATTCCTAATAGAATAAACTGTATTTTCACTCTTCAACCTCTTCTTACATTGCCCTTTTACTGCATTCTGATCAAGCTTTTACCCTACCAATATACTGAACAATTTTTATTAGGGTTAGTAATGACCTTTACATTACTAAATGCAGCAGTCAATTCTCAGTTTTCATCTTTACCTATCAGCAGTAACTGATATAGTTAGTACTTCCCTAGTCCCTGAATTTCTCTCTTGGTTACCAATATACCACACTTACATTCATTTCTAACATTTGTGTTGTTCTTTCTCAATATCTCTTTCATGGCTTTAAACTCCATCTCTGTGCAACAACTCATATTGATTTTATTGGCTTAAATCTAATGGCAAAATCTTTGGCATCTGAATCCTTAACCCCCTCTTTCTCTCATACTCTCCATATAATCCTGAGCAAGTCCCAAAGGTATCACTTTCAAAATATACCCAGAATTCAACTACCTTTTTACCAACCCTGCTGCCATCTTTTGAGCCAAGCTACCATTTCTCCTGTGGATTACTACAATTGTCTTTTAAATGGTGTCTGCTTCCATACTTTCCCCTTTTCAATAGTCTGATTACAACAGCAGTCAGTCATACTTTGAAAAATCTCAGATAAGAACCAGGAGGGTAGGAAGCACAGTGGGCTATGGCGTTGCCTAAGGGTTATTTGGTAGCAGTTGCACTACAATAGCAATACTTGATAGGAGATCTTAATTTAAATTAAAAAAAAAAATTAAAAGCAAAACAACATCTCAGAACATGTCACCCTCAGCTTTATACATTCTAGTCACTTACAAACAATAAAAGTAGAGACTCCAAAAAAAAAAGTAGAGACTCCACCCTCAACCTGATGGAAAAGAAAGGTTGGGGTAATCCTGCCTCTCGAAAACAACTGTTAAAAAAATTAACATTTTCTCACAAGAAGATCAAGATTTTGTCTATAGAGTCCCAAGACTTTCTCATATTTAGAACTAACATCAGTGTGACTGAAGGGAAGGAATGAGAGGAAGCAAAGGGGACCATGACCAGGAGTTAATTACCCACAGTCATGGCTAGGGAAACCTTGGACATTGTGAAATTCTCTGGAGAAACTTTGCTCACATGTAAGTGGTAACCCGGGACAGTGGGAACTCTTGTGCAGCATACCAATGTAGACTCACATAAAAAAAAAATAAGAAAACCTCAAATTAACAATGTAATGCTGAAGCTTAAGGAACTAGAAAAAGAACAAAAACATCCAAAAACCTACGGAAGAAAAAAAAAAAAACATAAATTAAGTGAAACAGAAAACAATCCAAAAAAATCAGAGAAATCAAGATATATTCTTTTTTTTTTTTAAGATTTATTTATTTATGCATACAGAACTAGGGTACAGGCCAGAGGTGCAGGAGCGGTGAGAGGATTCACCAAAGACAGAGTGGGGAGCAGAACAGGTAAATTGATGAAGTACACTGCTGAGGGGAGCAGCGGGCGGGTCAGGAGAGGTCTGCAGCACCATGTGGTCACCTCTGGGGCAGGCGGGAATCAAACTCATGCGGAAGTGGCTTTAGCTTCTTAGTGCTGTGCTTTTACCCACTGCGCCACCAGGAAGGGCCAAGATATATTCTTTTAATGAACAAAAAAATGACATGCCATTGTTATGCTTACTTACAAAGAAAAGTGGGAAATCCAAAATTAATAAAATCAGAAATAAAAGAGGTAAAATTACAACAGAAAGAGCAGAAACACATAGGATCATAAAGACCCTATTACAAAAGCCTTTATGAAACAAACTAGACAACCTAGGAGAAGACAAAGTTTTAGACTCAAGATTGAATCAGGATGAAACAGCAAAAAGTCCAATCATAAGTGCTGAAACTCAGAGTAATAAAAAAAAAAAACCTCTCAAAAAAAAAAAAAATCTCTAAGAATGAAAGTCCAGGACCAGATGTAGTTGCCAATGAAGTCTACCTAATTTTCAAAAAGCTACTCAAGTCATGCAAAAAAAAAAAAAAAAAAAAAGAGGGAGGAAATCACATTCCATGAGGCAAACATCACACTGATACCCAAATCAAAGATGGTACAAAAATAGAAAAACGACAGACCAATATTTCTCATGAATATAGATGCAAAAATTGTCAACAAAATACCAGCAAATGAAATACAGCAAGATATCAAGATATCAATTGATCATACACCATGATCAATTAGCTTCATTCTGGGAATGCAAGCCGAGTTCAACATATGAAAATCAATCCATGTCATTTATCAGATCAACAAAAATGAAGATAAAACCACATGACCTTCTCAATAGATGCCAAAAGAGCATAAAAGATTCAACATCCACTTACGATAAAAACACTAAAAAAAAGGGAATAGGAGGTCTTCCCTGGTGGTGTAACAAGTTAAAGCACAGCACTATGAAGCTATCTGCAGCCACAGCAAAACCAGTTTGATCCCAACCAGGGAGGTGACCCACAAGGTACAGCAGACCTCTTCTGACTTGTTGCAGTGTATTTCAGTACATCTGCCTGTTCTGCTCCCCTCTCTGTCTTTGGGGACTCTTCTTACCCTCTCTCTCCTGTACCTCTGACCTGTTCCCCAGTTTTTGTATGAATAAATAAATCTTATAAAAAAAAAAAAGTAGAACATATCTGAATGTTATAAAAGCCACATATGACAGTCCACAATCAACATCATACTCAATGGTGAAAACAAAACCATTCCTACTAAGATCAGAAATAAGATAGTATGTCTGTTATCACCATTAATACTCAGCATAGTTTGGAAGCCCTAGCCAAAAGCAATTAGCCAAAAAAAAACATAAAAGGAATCCAAATTAGAAAAGAAGTAGGGAAGCTAATCACTATTTGTATACATGACTTGTTAATATAGTTTGAGAAATCAAAATACTTTACCAAGAAGCCTCTAGAAGTAATAAATGAGTAAGTGGCAGTAGAGAAAAAGCAATACACAAAAATTGGTGGCATTTCTCTATGCAAACAATATATTAGAAGAAAGGGAAACAGGAATACAATTCTACTTACAATCATGTGAAAAAGAATGAAATACTTGGGAATAAACTTAACAAAAGAGAAGGACCTGTATATTGAAAACCATAACATTGTTAAAGGAAATAAAAGAAGATACACAAAAAAGTTAGGTTATCCCATGTTCATGGATTGGAATAATTAGCATCATTAAAATGGCTGTATTACGCAAAGTAATTTACAGACTCAGTGTAATATATATAAAATCACAAATACCCCAAATAGCTATGACTTTTCTCTCCTGCCACTTACTCATTTTTTATTTCTAAAGGCTTCTTGGTAAAGTACTTTGGTTATTTTCTCCTTTTCTTTAAGGATTGTTTTAGCTATTTGAAAACCAATGGAATAAAACTGAAAGCCCTGAGATAAATCAACACAAATATGGGCAGTTAATCTATAACAAAGAAATTAGAGCCATACAATGAAGAAAAGAACACATTTTCAATAAATGGTTTGGGAAAAATGGATAGCCACTTGCAAACAATGAAAAAGACCCATACTTAATTCCACCACAAAACTTAATTCAAAATATATTAAAGATCTGAATATTTAGAGCCAAACCCACAAAGTACCTGAAATTCTACAGAATGCATCACAGGACAACTACTACAAAGATATATTTGGGCACAATTCCAATAGCAAGAGAAACAAATGCAAAATCAATACATGAAAATCAGTGGCATTTTTCTATGCAAGCAATGTATTAGAAGAAAGGGAAAACGGAATACAAACCTATTACAATCTTGTGAAAAAGAATGAAATATTTGGGAGTAAACTTAACAAAAGAGATGGACCTGCAAAAATAAACAAGTGGGACTACATCAAACTCAAAAGATTTTATATTTCAAATAAAACCACTACAAAGCAAAAAGGCAACCTACTGAATGGGGGAAAATATTTGCATATCACACATCTAACAAGCTAATCTTGAAAATTTAGAAAGTTCTTATACAATCCAATAAACAAACAAACAATCCAATCAAAACATGGGAAAATGAGTAGATACTTTTCTAAAGAATACATTCAGATGGCCTACAGACATGAAAAATTGTTAAACATCACTTATTATATGGGAAATGCAAATTTGAGAACAGGCCATATAAATAAGAATGTTATCAACAAAAGTTGGTGAGGTTGATATAAAAAAAAAAGGAACTCTCATCTACTGTTGGTGGGAATGCAAGTTGGGGCAGCCCCTGTGGAAAATGGTATGGATATTTCTTATGAAAATTCCTTATCATCCAGTAATACCTCTATTACATATTTATCCAAACATGCAAAACTCTAATACAAAAAGATTTATCTATTCCTTTATCGCTACTTTTGTGTGAGAAAATGTTTTCCCAATTAGTGATCTTTCTGTTTGTTTTTAGTAATGTCTCTTTTGCTGTACAGAAGCTCTTTAACTTGATGTAGTCCCATCTATTTATCTTTGCCTTCACTATTGTGGCGTTGGGTGCTCTGTCTTTAAAGATGTCGCTAAAGTGTATGTCGTGAAGTGTTTGACCCATCTTTGCTTCTAGGTATTTTATGGTTTCCGTTCTTATGTCTAGGTCAGATTTATCTATTCCTATGTATATGTCAGCACTGTCTATAACTGTCAAGTCACTGAACCAACCCGAGTGACCTTCAACAAATGAATGGATAAAGGAGTCACAGAATACTATACATCTGTGAAAAAAGACAAAACCAGCACAAAATGGATGGACCTAGAGATGATTATATTAAGTGAAATAAGTCAAAAAGTTAAAGTAATTGGATAGTTTTACTCATCTGTGGAATATAAATAACCAAGAAAAACACACAGGCAAAGTATAGTGGGAATAAATCTTGAACTCAGTGAAAGAATATAATGGTTACCAGAGAGAACACAGTCGGGGTATGGTGAGAAGAAAGGGGAGGAGGATAGACATAAATGGGGTATAGGCCTGGGTAGTTTGATGGAGGGTAACTAGACCATGTACACATAGGAAGAGCAAAAATGTAGCCCCTCCCAAATTAAATAACAAAAAGAAAAATGAGAGTATAAGTTAAAAGTTCTTATGAAGGTCCATAAAATCCTCCCTCTCTACCTCATCTACTCCTTTTCTCTTAACACTCTTATCTAGCTATCCTAACTTTCCTCCTGATGCTCAATTAAATATGCTCCTTCACATTCCAATATGCTGTGCTTTAGAGGCTGGGATGCACTACCCCAGATGGCCCCATGTTTACTCCCTTGAATTTCTGACCACTTATATTATCCCAGAATTGCAATTCTTCCTAACTCTTTCAGCTTTAGTTATATTCATATTTATCACCTTCTAATATTAACACTTACTTCTTTTTGCAAACCTTCTTTCCTCACCACAGGCCCCTTCACAAGCATCTATGACTTTAGTAGAGATTTTTTGCTTTGTTTTGTACCCCTAACACCCAGAATCGTACTTGGCACATAGTAGATACTTAATAAATACTTGTTGCATGATCAAAACCCAACTTATTAGAGCTTCAACATTCAATTATCAACCATGTGTACATGATTACAGAATAATCACAATCTCTATAAAAGTTTACTTAACGCAAGAAAATCTGTTTTAAAACATAATTTCTCAACTAGAACTGATTAATTTCTCATAGTGAGACAAGATGTAAATAATACTCTTGTTTTAAAAAATTCCAAAAGCGGGGCCCTCCCTGGTGGCGCAGCGGGTTAAAGCACAGCACTAAGAAGCTTAAACCACTTCCGCATGAGTTCGACCCCCGCCTGCCCCGGAGGTGACCACATGGTGTGGCAGACCTCTCCTGACCCGCCCGCTGCTCCCCTCAGCAGTGTACTTCATCTGTACTTCATCGATCTGCCTGTTCTGTACCCCACTCTGTCTCTGGTGAATCCTCTCACCCTCCGCATCTCTGTACCCCAGTTCTGTACGAATAAATAAATCTTAAAAAAAAAAAAAAAATTCCAAAAGCGGGACGACCTCCTTGGTGGCACAGTGGGTTAAAGTGCAGCACTGCAAGCTAGCGGCTCTGCTTCAGTGCCAGTTCAATCCCTGGCCCTGGAGGTGACCACATGGCGTGGCAGACCTCTCCTGACCCACTCACTGCTCCCCTCAGCAGTGTACTTTGTCGATTTGCCTATTCTGCTCCTCACTGTGTCTCACACTTCCCACCTCTGGCCTGTACCACAGTTCTGTATGCATAAATAAATAAATAAATCTTTAACAAAAAATAGCAAAAGCATAACAAAATTTAAGGAAAAAATGCTGTTAATCTTCCTTAAAATTATACATTTTGGATAGATGTACAAAGGTTTCAAAAAGCAACAGCTTTCCTGCCCACCTGTGACAATGCAGGTGCCTCTCTTTTTCTTCTTCCATTTTCTAATAAACTTGTCCTTTAAAAATGTTTAAAATGGGGGGCACCAGAGTAGTTTCCCATCTCTTGCCATTGGCATAAAGCAGCATGAGAGCAAAATTTTAAATTATGTCTTTTAACTTTAGAATCCTAACTGGTTATATTGTTTTCTCAATTATTAATGTTTATGAGATTATTTATTCTGATAGTTGAGCATTTCTGATGAAGTTAGTATTTAAATGTTTACCGAAAGACACTATGAAAGAGTCTAATATACCAACTCAAATAATTTTTCTGATTAGTCTTACTTTGTAAATGCATTCAAAATGGTCAACTTAAAAAAATGCAATTCACTAATTTGTTAATCCCAAACACTTTTCAAAATATTTCAACAGAATGTCAATTGAACAATGCACTTAAATGGATTCAATGCATAAAAATCTGATTTCTAGGCAACATTTTAAGTTCAAGAGAGAGGAAAAAGGAGGGAATTGTGAGATAAAGATGGATGATGGAATATGTAAGTTAATATACGAATACCTATAAAATTCTTCTTTTCCAGCCTTTCCTTCATTGGAGGGTATGAGGAATCCACCATCAGCCAACTGTATTCCCTTCCCAGTGCGTAAAACTTCTTTACCAAAATAATCCTGTGTGTGAAACTGAAAAGACTCTGCATTTTTGCTGTTAATTTTTATACAATGTTCAGAAATACCAAACATGTATAGCTGTAGAAAAAAAAAAGAAAAAATTGATGTATGGAAAACAAAATTATACAAAAGAACATGGTTCAGAGAATGAAAATAAGCTAAAACTGAATATTACAAAAAAAATATATAGCTACTAGCAGGTTCAGGACTATGATTTATTCACATAAGTTCAATGAAACTATATATATGAAAATATTTAACTTACTTCCTGGAAGCTAAAAATCTTAACATGAGAGACCCATATATCCAAGAGTGTGCTGTACCTTTTTCCTATCTTGTGTATGTGCTTCCTGCTCTATCTGCCATAGAAGGTTATTATTGGGACAAAAAAATAGTACTGTGAGAAACTTTTCAAGTCAAAATGAATTAGAAAGGAAAGAATAGTGAAAAGTTTTGGAATTTGGAGATAAGATTGTTATACAGACCTTGTCTACTTTCAAAGCACATGACTACCCCTAAAATAGCTTTTCCTTTTATCAGACTTGACTATGAAGTTTGACTCATTACTTTGGAATTGTGGCTTTCCCATTTACTAAATGACATTGGCAGTTACTAAATCTATACGTCAGTACATTAATCTATAAAATGACAGACAAAATAATATTACCATTGAGAGTGTTTAGAAAGATTAATCTATAAGCAATATATGTAGTTTCCAGGAGTGCTTAGCACATATCAAATAATAAATGCTAACGATTATCAGTATTATTTTTAATTCTTTACTACCTAAAATTCTAACAAACTAGTACTGCCTTAATAAGAATCCTGTTTTAAAAATGTATATGGCTACTATAAGTTCTAGGCTCTGATTTATTCACATAAGTTCAAGAAAACTATTTTTTTCTGACAGTACAGTAATAAAGGAAGTTTTGAAGGGGAAAGAGAAATAGATTGAAGTACAGGTCACTCTGACATGACTAGGCAGCAGAGGGTGTGTAGCCTGACGAGGAAGCATGCTTTCATTCATCCATCCTTACATGGTTGTCTTTTTAATAGATCTTAGAAATATTACTTAATAAGATTACATTTGCTACAAAAGTGAATGGTATTCTATACAAAAGCATACCTGTTTAGGAGAAAATGCAGAGGGACGTTGGCCTCCTACTGCTACTTTCAGAGAGAGTCTAGTAATAGTGGATGTTTTTGCAAGATACAGACTGCCTGGCTGTGGAGAAATACATTGTCTTTGTTTTTTTTTAATTCGTAAATCCTGTATATCTCTGGCATTCTGAAGAACTGAAGTTAAATCTATCAAGGAATTAGCAAAAAAATAAAATTGAATATAAAATTGAAAAAGTACATGTTTGCTTTACAAAATTATCAATTTGCTCTAGTTTGAAATCCTTAAGGAGGAAAAGTTTCAACTTACAAAGAACAGCAACAGATTTTTATTTCAAATTTGGCAGAAAATATTATGATAAAATATACTGCAATGGCAATCCTAGATTGTCTACTAACTTTTTAAAAGTAACGTCCTTAGTAGGTACTTTGAAATAAAATAGAATTCAGACCTAATCTTTGGACTTAGAAAAGTTAAAGCATTAAAAATATTTTGAGGGCCTCCCTACTAGCCCAGGGGTTAAGTCTCAGTGCTATCTCCTGTATTGCCAGAGTTTAGTCCTTGGCTAGGCAGCAAGCCATGTATGGTAAAGCAGCCCTCTCCTGTCTCACCCACTGATCCTGTTATCAGCATATTTCAGTAAATCCACCTGTTCTGCTCTCTGCACTGTCTTGAGTGAATCCTCGCACTTCCTCAACCCATCTCTGGCCTAGATCTTCTATGCATAGATAAATAAATCTTTAAAAATAAGTAAAAGCATTTTGAAAATACTACAATAAAAGAGGCATTATTTAATATGAGAAATAACTGGAAGGCAAAACTGTCACACAATTTTGAAATTATACCTAAAGTCTCTCCACACTTAGTGAAGATTGTAGTTGCTTCTTGATTGGAGTTATTTTTGTTCCATTGATGAATTTCACTGTCAGTAATATTTTCGCTATCACCAGAGCCATGGTCATCTATAATTTTTGGTTTGTGTTTATTTTCCTCCAAGTTAGTGATCCTGCTAATAAACTGTTCAGTTCTTTGAAAGTGTGACTTAGTTTTAAAAGGTGGAACAAATACTTTCATTAGTTTGCCTGTAGTGCTTGAGTGTTTCCTTTTTTCATTTCTTGTGACAGAAACTTTGTAAGGCTGTTCTGTGATTGGTAAATTGCTTGAAGATTTTCCCAAAGTCAGATGTGTATAAAAATGAGATTTAGACAGAAATTCCTGACAAGGTACAGTGAAATTTGGACGCTTTACTTCTTGCTGATCCTTAGTTGTGCTACAGTTGGGAAGAAAATATTTAAGTTTGATTATTCACTAGTAAATAGGTTCTCATTCACTAGTAAATAGGCTCTCATTGCTTACTTGACAATCCTATCCTGATAACTGTTTTTGCATTCATTCACTGTTATTGCTGACATTCCAAAATAACCACCCTTTCCAAATCTGTATAACTATTTTAGATATGTATGTGCATACACACCACCCACACACAATATTGACTCTCAGTCTTTGTACTTTACCTCCAACTTCATATAATAAAAGTCAAACATGGAGCTTCTATTTTTCCCACTTCAGTTCTATCACAGTACTCCTTATTTATTATTTATCCTCTTTACCTTACCAACGAAGTATATTTGTCTTCTTCCCAACGCTAATAACTTCACCTGTACTCTTAAAACCACCTAATAACTCAGTCTTCTTAGGAGTCTCATTCCACTCTTTCAACTATAATTCCACCCCTTTCTTTTCACTTTCTGCCACATTTCTATTTTTAATTACTTCTTTCATTTAGCCAGAAGTCCTCACTCATCTTTAAAACACCCTTTACTCAGCCTTAATTCCACTTTAAGCCAATACTCAGTTATTTCACGCTTCATGGCAACCATCTGAAAAATGTAATCTACACTAGCCATTTTCACTTCCTCAATTTCCACTCACTGAACTCTTATTTCGCCCATTACTCTACAAATTGTTTCTCAATAAATAAGCTCCAAGATGCAAAATGAAACTGCTTACAGAGTAAACTCATTCTGTTCAACCTCTCCACATTTTCTTCTTAAAATTCTTACCATTAATATCAACACCTTTGTCTCCTGATTTCTTTTTCTTCCTCCTTTCCTCTTCCTAAGTATTAAAAATATTCCCTTTCCTAAAGTTTAACTTCTTCCTTAGGTGATATAAATCATCTCTATTGTTTAAATTATCATCTACATTATAAAACTATAAAAATATTAAACAACATCTTCATTGTTGAATTTTCCCCTTCAAGGTTTATACTTTGAACTACACATAGCATCAGCAATCTTTACCCTTATGTTCCATAGACACCATATGTCCAAAACTAAATTTATCACCTTCCTTAGAATACATGTTCTTCCTAATATTTGGTACCTTATTGAAAACCCCATATTTTCTTCAGTCAACCCCGAAAACTTGGAACTTGAGTTCTAGGTAACTTCATTTAGTTATCCATTCATTTACCCATAAAAAGTTTAATGAGTTCCTACTACGTAACAGACTGAATCAAGCTTATGTTCTAGTGGAGGAAAACAAGCATGCTCATTGATAGGGAGAAAATCAAGGTACAATAAAAGGGGCAGGAAGTGTCCAGTAGAGCTAAATTAGTGATATTTTATATAGAGTGGTGAAGAAGGCATTATTGATAGTGACATGTGTACAGAGACCGTAAGGAAGCAAAGGAGAAAGCAATGAAAGAATTTAAGAGAAGACTGTTTCAACCAAACAAACAGCACATTTCAAGGCTTAGACACAGTTAATCTGGAGCAGACTGAACAGAAGGCAAATTAGTATTTGAGATTGGAAAGGTAGCAAAGGTCAAATCTTGGCAGTACATGAACATCACAGTAAGAACTTGGGCTTTAACTCTAAGAGGGAAGTCGTGGAATAATTTTGAGTAAAAAAATGATATAATCTGGCTTCTTCATTGCCAATACATTGTGCAAAGGGCGGGAGATGAGAGCAAAGTCGGAAATGGGGATACTAGTTATCTGAAATAATCCAGTTATATGATGTCTTGAACTATGAGTTAGTAGTGAGAAGTAAATGTATTTTATATACAATATGAAAGCAGAGTTGTTAGTCTTTTATATGAAAACAGATTAGGCTAACATATGTCAGCTTTGGACATGTTAAGTTTAATAGGTCTATTAGTCACCAAAGTAAAAATGTCAAGTAGGTAGCTGGACCAATATGATGTTCAGAGAAGACATATGGAATATATTTGAGTATATATAGACAATTCTAAAGGGTTATAACGCTTTAAGAGGATCAAAGAGATAGACTGGCAGGATTAAAAACATCAAGAAAGGCTTTTCTCTTTATAGTGAGAGATACAAAGCAACTAATTTCACTGAAGGGACTAATGACAGAGAGAGAAACAAATTAGAGATGAAGAGAGGACAACTGCTGAACGAATTTCCTTGAATAGATATATATTCTAGATATATAAGATCTAGTGCACCAGAATTAATAAACCAAGCTGTTTCCAACCTTATTTTCATAGATTTCTTTTAAGTAAGGGTACTATGAAAATGAGGATCATGTTATGATTAAGATGAGTAAGTGGAGATATTTTGTCTCTTGGTAAATTGCTACTGACCAGATAGAACTGAATCAATCTATAGTCCACTTATTTGCTACCACCTGAATTAAATGGAAATCTTTACTTCCTTAAAATCTTCAAACAGGTTTGCTTTGGTATATATCCAAGATAAAATCTACCTATGTTGCTCTTTTCTTAGAAACTTCCAAAGACAAACCACCACTTACCCAGCTTGATAGTTTTAACTTGTCGGGAATAATACAAACTTTTAATTTGATTCCAATTTATTTCTGTTTGTTTCATTCCAGTCTTTACCCTACACCATTGCTTGTGAAATCCTGCTTGTTAATGTCACACCACTTTTCAGTGGTTCTAGAATTTGGAGACCCATCCTTCACCAAGCATTCTTGATATCTATCTTAAATAACTTTCCCTGTTCAACTTTTGTCACATGATTAGCTACCAATTTTCTGTTTTCAAATCACTGTTATATCTATTTTAGTATTGTTAAATCTATTTTAGTATTGTAGGTCCTTGATTATTTTGTTGAACATTGATGGGAAAAAAACAATCCAGGCCAAGCTATTCAGGTCTGCTTCTACTATACTTTGTTTTATATAAAATTGCAGTTTCTGGCCCTCCCTGGTGGTGTGGCAGGTTAAAGCACAGCACTAAGAAGCTAAAGCCACTTCAGCATGAGTTCCATTCCAGCCCCTAGGAGGTGACCATATGGCATGGCAAACCTCTCCTGACCAGCCTGCTGCTCCCCTCACCAGTGTGCTTTGATGATCTGCCTGTTCTACTCCCTATTCTGACTCTGGTGAAGCCTTTCACTGCCCCTGCACCTCTGGCCTGTGCCCCATTTCTGTATGCATAAATAAATAAATCTTAAAAAATGAAAAATTGCAGTTTCTAAAAACCTATCTATGATGTTAAATTAAGACTTACTGTATATTATAGTAGTTCTTCTTTCAAGTCTGGCTCTCAAACTACTAATCTGAGTTAGACTTACAAATTTTTATAACCATTAACATGGGAAAAACTAGGTGCTCAATTTACTTTGTCAATGCACAAAACTATTTTCCTATAATATGTATAAGTTAAGAGAAGATAAAGATAGATAACTAAACATTTGCCTTATTTAATATTATGTTTTTGATAAAAAATAATCACCAGGTGTTCTATATTCCATAGCAGATATATCTGTAGCTTACTGAAAGCTATATTCCAGAAAAATAATTCAAAGACTATTTTAATAATGCCACAAATAGTTGTATTTGAAAAAAATAACATGAAAACAAATCATATTTTGGGCTTAAAAATCCTCTTATTTCTGCTGTCATTATGGAAAATGAACTTTTAGCTTTGTCAATACCACACCCCCCCACTGTTTTACCAAACACATTCTTTCCCTGTCTTCTCAAATTACGTATTTGAATTTGTCAGTATTAACATTTGACTATTTTACAGATCAGTGTTATATTAGTATAAAATATTAATATTTACATGTAATATATTATGATTGTGTTTCCTTTTTTCACAAGTTTTGTTTTCCTTTGAAGTAAATGTCTTTTAAAACTTTAAGTTTCTATGTATTTATTTATTCACAAAAAAAATATACATAAAAAAAACCTACTTGCATTCTGCTCATCAATCAAATTTTTCACTCCTTCATGAATAGTGTTTTACAGTTATTTCATTAGTTTGATTTTAGTTAGTTTACTCTTGCTTATTGTAATATGAAATAATGTTTGTTAATCTCTCTATGTCCACATTTAAGAGTGGGGGATCAAAAAGCTGTTTGGAAGCTCTTGGCAAATAGATGGGACTTTGCTAATATAAGCTTGCTATTGAGTAACTGAAAGTTTCCAAATCTGGAAGTTAAATATGCTTCCAGTACATAGTTGTGTTTATAGCCATGCCTAGGTGTTCAAAAATAAATAAACTCTGTGGCATTTACTGGAGATTTAACCTCTAGTTTTTGTTAGAGTTAACAAGACAGTTGTACATTTTCAATATAGTCTTTCATTTTGGCTCCTTTCTTCACTATATTTCTGAAGATTCATCAATTCTTCAGTCTGTGAAGTTTCCCTAGGTATAAAATCATTGTCTCTCTTGTCTCCTTTCCCCCAAATTAGTTTTTGCCTGCATGCTGAGAAATTTAGTTACTGTGGTCTTCTTTTCCATTTTTTTCTGTGTATGTGTACACACACACACACTATTGTGCACATGCATGGCTGTAAGTTCTCTTGCTGTTCTTTTAGTGAAGTTTTAGAAGGTAATGAAAGTAAAGTGTATATGCAAATTAAACATCTTCACTAATAAGTTTTCTAATGAACAAAAAACACTTCAGTTATTGCTTTACTTTTATCTCTTTCAGGGCCCTATTCTTCTGTTCTAAAATGGTGTAGCCACAATTGAGTCTTAGTAACACTACTCTCGTTTTGGTATCCCCTTTCAATACCACCTTAAGGACTCCCTTTGCTTCCCTCCTGTTTTCTCAATTCCATAACTTCCTCCCTGACTATATATTTGATTGCTTAGCTTCCTTAGAAAAGTACATGGGAGATAAATCTTTTGATACCTACATATCAGAAAAATGTCTACCCTCAACAATTGACTTTTGATCAGTGATAGGATTTTTTTAGGTGCAAACCATTTTAAAGGTATTACTGTACTATACATACAATCTACAATCTTTTTAATTTCCATTGTTGTCAATGAAAGAACTCACATACCTTTTGAAACTGTTTGAAACCATGTCATCACTTTGGAAATTTTAAGGTTCCTTTTTGTTCTTAAAATTTCACATGAACATACCTTAATGTTGGGTCATTTTCATTCATCTGCTTGTTCAGGGTGACCTTTCAACAGAGGAAACTCATAACCTTTGACATTGGTAAATTTTCTTAGAAAATTTGTCATTTCTCCTATTTTTTCTTCGTCAAACTCTGAATTTTTGGATGCTACACCCATAAAACTGACTTTTCTGATATCTTTTTAAACATTTTCCCTCTACATTTGGGCAACTTTTTAATTTTTATCTTCTGTTTCTGCTAGTGAGTTAATTTATTTCTGTCAGTCATCCTATTTTTAGTTTTTAAAGCCTCTTTCGACAGCAACTTGTTCCTATTTTAAGGATATTAATTCTCTTTCTTGACGTTAGTAATTTCTTTTCCTCATATTGTCTATTTCCTCCAATTTCCTTTTTTGTTATTGTGGTTTAGTTTCCTTTTTTATGAAACTAAAAAAATAAGGTGATAATGTGAATAGCACTAGAGTACTACCAAAGTATGGAATTATTTACTCTGATGTAAGTTTTCAAAAAGGGAGGTATTAACTTCTTTACCAAATATTAGTGCCATTACTTTTAGCTCATTTAATCAATTATTTATTTTAAAAGCTCACACTTTTCCTATACTATAGAAGTAGAATTTTTAAAAATTTGAACATGTCTTACCAATAGGGTCCACAGGTAATTGGCTCTAAAGAAATGTGATGCATAAACAATCTTCTATCTTTTATTGTGCCTAGAAAATATTATTTTACATTATATATTACATTATGTAATAATGAAAACCTAATGATTTTATTTCCTAAGTGCATTACACATTATTGTAAACATCAGCACAAAAATTAAAACAATTAAAAACTTTTCCAGTACAAATACTTAGTAACTACCAAGAGAAATACATTTACAAATTGATAAACTATATACCAAATAACTTACATTGTAAACATTTAAAAAGTCAGCATAAATTTACTTAACTGATGTTAATCATTACTCAAAGGTATTAGCTGTCAATATATCAATACAAATATCAAATTTAAAATTCATTTTTTGAAGGTTTAGAAACTAAACTTTAGATATTACTTATTCTCAGCATATAACTTGTATTTTACAAACCTTCATTTAATCCACTAAGAGGGGACTATTTGAATAAACTAGAATCTATTAACATAACCATATGTTAAGTATAATGCAACCATAAGAAAGGTCTCTAGATAAATTCTTAAGTAAACAACAAAGAAGGTACAAAACAGTATATGCATCTGAATGATATAGGTAATGAGTGCATCCATAGCCTTTTTTTTTAAAAAAAAAAGAAAGAAACCTAAAAGAATATATAAAAAGCCATTAACAATAGTTACCTATAAGTGAGCAAGAAGTGGGGAAAGTGATGAAATATATGGAGGGAATATAGGTAGTTAACACTTCTCCAAGTATATCTTTCTATACTTAGAGGAATAAAATGTTTTATTTATCAAATACAAAATTAAAGCAGCAAATAGTAAAATTCCAACCAAATCAAAACAAATCTAACAATTTTCAAATTGGTAATCACATACAAAAAATCATTTTGAGGGACATTTGAAGAAAATTCTTTGACTACATATTCTTTGACTAGACACACATACATTCTTAATGATAGTCTTAGGACAAAACCTGTAAAGAATTCTGAAGCTTTTCTTAGCAGTTTTATTGTTAGTTTTAACACTGGTATTTTAAATTTGAAAACATTTATATTCTGTAAGAAAAAAGTCTCTAAAGGGAGATCCTGGGAATCTACAGATCAGGGACAAGACCCATTTGATATAAGGCTGACAAAACTATTATAATTATAATGATATATGTCTTTCTCATGGTCAACATTTTCATTGTGTTGTATGTGGCTGTAGACTTGTAATGATTATCCCAATGAAGTGTATGAGCTACACTAGTATTTTTAAATAGAATTCCATTTGCACTTGAATTACTGATAAACTATAGTTGTTCACTTGTATATTCAGCAAACATTTATTCAAAAATTAATAAAATGAGCTTTTTTCACTACAAAGAAAACAATAATATTTGTTGTCAAAGGTAAAATTCAAGCTATTAACTGAAAATTGGTATTTTATTTAGAAGCTCTGTGTTTAGACCTTTTGCCATGACAGTTACCCAATACGTAAACTGTCCACATAAGATCAGTGATAACAGTTAACAAAAATGGTTAATATTGTACAATAAGATGTGTAGTATTCATAAAACTTGTGTAACTCTATGAACTAATGCTTTCCAAATGATCAATGTACACTGTTACAAATATAAAAATTCCTCAGTTTTAACATTTAATGTGGTAAATACAAATAGACACAATTCCTAGAAACAAATATTCTTTGGGATTCTCAGTTAATTTTAGAGTATGAAGAGATTTTGAGACCAAAAAGTGTGAGACCCACTGCTGCAGGATCAAGTAAATATAATTATGGTATTGTTACCAGGAAACAAGAATTTCGTCACTAATTGTAACACCACTGATAATGAGCATACCTAGCAGCCCCAAACTTGCTTCTCATAAACTACTAACCACTGAAAGTGTCTTAGGAAAATGGGTTGATTCTATGTTGGAAGGAAAAAAATTTGCAGGGAGATGCTAGGAGATTCTTTTTGCGATAATAAAAAGCAAACACTTAAGACATGTGAAATCAAAACGAAACCAAACCCTTGGGAATAGTTTGAAGTTTTTCACCTCCAAATTTAAGATGATTTGAACATCAAAAATAATTTTCTTTTTGTAAAGAAATGCATTATTTTTTTAGAAATGCATTATTTTTAATGAATTTTATTTTAAAAATTTATGTATTATAAATAAAATTCCAAAAATTTTTAGTCAACAGAAAAAAAAAGTTTATTTGCTGACACTAGCTTTAATTATCACAATATTTCTTATGAAAAAATTGATAAAATTAGGCAGTACTAATCCATTTTAGGAAGCATAGTTTATCCCCAATTATATAGAGAATGCTCTTCCTTGTTGGAATCCCACCCAATAAATATATAAGGAATAATAGAAATTGAAAATCACTACTTTTCAACCTCCAATTAAATAATTGTCTGTTAAAAATAAAGATTGTTTGGTAAACTGAGTATTGTTATAGTACCAAAGATTAGTTATTAGTTGTAAATAGGAACACACATCTTTTCAATGAAGTGATCAAACATTACATTTTACATTATATTTTCCTGATGTGATGCAATACCTCCTCAATATCTTCAATACCTCTTCTATGAGGCATACTTGCCAAAAAAAAAAGCATAACCTGACTCCAATTAATTCTAATACAGAGTTTAGAGCAACAAGTTAAATGATACCATGAAGAAACAAACAAATCCAGATGAGAAAGTCTAGAAAACAATTGGATTGGTCATTTTAAAGTGCTAGTATGTAAAAATAAAAGTAGAAGACTACCACAGAATAGATTTTTATCGATTTTCTTTAGTAATAATGACTTTTTGGTTATACCATTATGAAATGTCATTATGCTTGAAATTAACATTCAAATAAAATATGATTTATAAAAGCGTAAACATTACCACAGACATTATTATACATCTATCCACATATTATACATCATTAGAATTAACAGTTATTACAAAATAACTATATTATAACACAATAACCATTGAATCTAGGTGATGGCTATGTGGGTATTCATTCTGTTATTCTTTCAACTATTTTGTGTGTGAAGATGTTCATAGAGAAATACAGAAAAGAATCATTCACCAGCAAATGGGGGATGATGATCATGCTGAAAAAAATCATTAAAAAAATAAGATAATGATGATCAAATAAATACTGAACATGGACCAACTCAAGGTGATACCAAAAGTAAGTTACAATAATACATTACGCAATGGCAGCACTCTTAGAATCAAATACATGTTCTACTTTCTTCTAGGAATTAAAAACCAGTTGTTTCTACCGGGTAAGATTTGTTGATATTCATAATGCAATCTAACACTGTCTTTCAAAACTTAAGACTCACATATTGCATAGGCTTAAAGACAATTTATCAAAACAGCTGGGACTACATTAAAACCAAACTTCTGTACAGTAAGAGACACTAAGACACACTCTACTGATTGGAAGAAAATATTTACACTTTACACAAATGATAAGGGACTAATTTCAAAGATCTATAAAGAGTGCATATGACTCAACTAAAACAAACAATCCAGTCAAAAAATGGGCAAGAGCTAAAATAGACACCTCTCCAAAGAGGAAACGCAAATGACAAACAGGCATATGAAAAGATGGTCAATATCACTTATAAATTGGGAAATGAAAATCAAAACCACAATGAGATACCACCTCCCACCAGTGAGAATAGCCTATATTTAAAAAAATTGGCAAAGCCACATGCCGGCAAGGATGTGGAAAAAAAGGAACCTTCTTACACTGTTGGTGGGAATTCAAACTGGTCCAACTACTATGGAAGCTGTGTGGTGGGTCTTCAAATTATTAAAAATGGCTACCACATGACCCAGTGATTCCACTTTTAGTAATCTACCCCAAAGGCAAAAATACAATGCTTTGAAGAAAATATACACTCCTATGTTTACTGCAACACATTTACGGTAGCTAAGATATGAAAACCTAGATGCCTCAAACCAGATGACTGAATCAAGATGATATGGTATATATACACAATGGAACACTATTTAACAAGGGAAAGATAAACTCATGTCATTGCAAAATGAATGGAGCTGGAAGGGATTATGCTCAGTGAAATAGAAAGAAAAAGAATAGATGATTTCATTTATAGAAGGAATATAGGGAAACAGAACAAGGGAGCAGAAAAAAGACAAAGCTAGTGGCAAATTAAATTTTAAACATATAGCAGGGGTGGGAAGAGCACAAAAGAGGATGCGGATGGTTCTCGGGCCATGAGGTGGTGGGGGTTTTATGGGGATTACACCCAAGGGGAGAAATCAAATATTGTACAAAAATGATGAAAAAAACAATAAAGTCACATATAAACAAAATGAAAGCTGTTTCACAGTAAAAAAAAAATAAAGAAGTTTATCAAGTAATAATTTAGTATGGTAAAAGCTATCCTAAATTTCAGAATTTAGGGGTAGGGGTGGTGGTGAGAAGAACTGATCAGATTCTTGTAATATTTTGAAGGACTTGGTGGGTTGGGTGTGGAATGTGAAGAAACAAGTAAAAGATGGTATTAAGGCTTTGATGTGATTAGGTGGTGGAGTGGCAATGAGAAAGCAAAGAATAGAATCCAAGTTTGGAGGTAAGGATTGAATTAGGACAAGATTTCAACACCGGCCTATGTAACGTTGAGATGTGTGTTAGGAATCCAAGTAGCGATATTAAGTCAGAAAATGAGTAAATATGTCTGGAGTTCTAAGACAGGTTAAGTTTGCAGATATAGTTTGATAGTCAGGGAAGTTTAGGCAGACGAGAGATCTAAGGACAAAGGACAGGAACATTTCTATGCATCAGGAAAAGGAAAGAATGAGGAAATATCACCACCATCAAATGAAAATGAACAGCCATATAGGAAAAAACCAAGAGAATGGGGTGGCTCAGAAAAGTGACAAACGTATTAAAACAGACCTAAAAGAGTGAAATGAGGAAAAAGAAATGCTGAATGGTTGTGCCAACATGGAGATCCCTAAGGCTTGGGGAAGAGTAATTTTGGTGATATGGTGGAAACCAAAAGCCTAATTGGATCCTATGAACTGGATTTAGTCCTTACAGCTATTTTTAATTTAACAAAGGTCATTTTTTTGGCCCTCCCTGGTGGCGCAGCGGGTTAAAGCACAGCACTAAGAAGCTAAAGCCACTTCTGCTTAAGTTCGATTCCTGCCTGCCCTGGAGGTGACCACATGGAGCGGCAGACCTCTCCTGCCCGCCCACTGCTCCCCTCAGCAGTGTACTTCATAGATCTGCCTGTTCTGCTCCCCATTCTGTCTCTGGTGAAGCCTTTCACCGCCCCTAAGCCTCTGGCCTGTACCCCAGTTCTGTATGCACAAATAAATAAATCTTAAAAAAAAAAAAAGGTCATTTTATAATCATTTATGTTCTTCAATTATGGATAATATCAATATTTTCCTAGTATTATTATGGGAAAGTTCACATAACAGGGCAAGATGTAAGTTTAAGAAACTACATAGCAAAATCTTGTTCAATTATATATATACTCAAAATAACTGAGAAAATTAATTTAGAATATTATATGTAGTACCTATAGAGAGAAAAATGACAAAGAGTCAAATTTTACCATCTGGAGTAGTTTTTGAAGGCTTTAAGGGGTCTTCCTGATTTCCCACTGTTCTGTCAAATTCATTTAACAAGTTTCTTTTGATTGGGGGTTCTCCTAAAAAGAAATTTCCAAACATGTTTTTAAAGCAAATAAAATCAATTTCTCTATTTTGAAAGAGAAAATTCATTTGTTTGCTATCAATTTAATTGCTATTTTTTTACCATTTAAAATATCACTATATAATGGGGTCTAGGATAAACAGATCTTGTAAGATACTACAGAAAGCTATTTTTTAATAAACTGGCACTAGATATAACTCTAAAAAACAAAATTTCTTCACATAACTTTTTTCTTGTATTAAGCTCAAGAAAGAATTTCTTATATAGGTCATTGGAGTAAGTGGTAATAAAAATTATGACTGACCGAATAGTTGATTTGTTAAACATACATTTTAAAAAGTTATAGTCCAAATAATATTAAGAGCAGATATTATTTGCCAAGGAAAGAAAGCAAGAAAGAAAAAAGCAGCTAACATTTACTGAAAGCTCTCTACTATGTATCAGATTCAATGCTAAGTGTCTTAGATATGCTATTTTATTTTATACTCATAATTGCCGATAAGTGTCAGTTGCATCTTGAAACTCAGAGAAACTAATAGTGCAAATTTTTTTAAATTTGCACTTTCTACAGTAATTTCTCAATTATAACTATAATAGTAACCTTTAAAAAAATTAAAAACCTTAAAACACTACTCTCAGTACACACTCAGGAATTGAGTTAAATCATATTAGCAACAAACTACACATCAACTCTGAAAAAATATACTTAGTTTACAAGACTAATTGTTATAAGCCAGTATGCCAGGACTGCTAAGGAAAACTGACTGGCAATCCCCAAGGAAAAAGATAATTACCAATTGAGCGAAATGAATCTCCTCTTCTTTTCCCAATTCTTGAATTTAATAAAATTGCTTCCTCATTTTTTTGGCATGAAAAAAGTGAGTGTTTGGCATGACTTAGTAGTTCAGAATCTGTCAGCTCACTATCTTCCATAAAAGCTTTGGCAATCTCCACTGTTTCTCTTTCAAAACAGTTTTCTGGATGTTTGGAGTAAGTAGAACAAACTTCATTTATTTTTGAGAGATTAGAAAAAGTTTCAGTTTCACCAATTTCCATTTTTGTTTTTGCAGGTAAACCTTGCTCTTTTCCCAAAAGATGGTTATTTTCAGCAAGTGATACTTTTGTTCCTATTACCAACTGTTGCTTGTCTTCCTTAAATTGAGAAACATATGGAGAAACTTGAATAGAGTGATTATTTTCTGAAGAACCACTTTCAACAGTACAGTTATGTGATACTTTAAGTTCTTTATTATAGATTTTTGCAAAGTGCTTTGGGGTACTGTTATCAATACAGGCGAGAGGAAGTATCTCTGATGCCTCTTGTTTAGATGTAGGTGAATGCTGAAGAGTATATTTGGTTCTGATTAAATCAAATTCCTCTAACATTCCCTTAACTTTGTTTAAGGCACTTTCAGAAACTGAAACCTGTTTTCCACTTGCTGTACTAAATCCAGAGAAAGCAGATGATAATTCAGGAGCAGTATACATCATAGCACTTTTTTCCTTTGTGCACTTATCTGAATGTTCATTATTTTTGGAAGACACTCTGCAAAAGTGTTGGCTGGTATTATCTTCTAGATTTGAGAATACCTGTCTTGCTTTTTGTAATGCAGCATCTGATAATGGTACAGATTTTCCACTTGCTGTGCTAAATATCCCACAGGTATCTGTAGAAGAGCCCGATTTGGGATGCTTTTCCCTATTAAGTTTATATATATCAAAAGTTTTCATATTAACCTGAGATGTTATTTCAGAAACATTCTCTGATCCACATATACTTTGGTTATTTGGTAAAATTTGTTCACATTGAATGTCAGGAAAAACTTGTGAATGAGTACTACATTCTTTACCATCCTGAGAATTAGGGAAAATATTCTCTGAATCATTCAATGTCTTATAACCTGACACAATTTTTGTTTGGCAAGTGCCTGATTTATTCTCAATGTTTTGCTTATTTACCTCACTGCAATTACTCGATGTTTTGCTTAATGCCAATCTCTCTCTTGTTTCAGGTGTAACAGAGTCTATTTTAGCACTTGTACAGAATGCAGGTGGCCCTACTTCAAAATGATCTGAATCATCTATGGCCAACTTACTGGTTGTATTTTTATTTTTGCATGGTGAAGAGTTACTCACAGGTTTTTGGACACACGTACCTTTACCTACAGTTTGCCGGCATATGTTTTCTCCTTGTATGGTAGCTGTTACTTCAGAAGAACACATGTTTTCCCCATCTTTGACATCCTTGACTTTTGGTTCAACATCAGCTTTATTAATTTTTTTTGAGAGCTTTTCTGATTTATCACATACATCATTAGAATGACAAAAGTCAGAATGAGACCCATAGCTGTCAGACATGCTTCTGTTACTTAAGTAAGTTGAATCTTGTTTTGGAGAAAGATAACTTTTGTCATTTTCAGTTAAGATACTACTTGAACTATTTCCATTTGGAAGACTTTCTACAGAATCCTCAGGATAGTCTTTTAAACACATAACATTGGCAACATTTTTTTTTTCTGGCTGATAATTGAATTCTCCTTCTCTAAGCAATTTTTTTGCTTCAAATAGTGATGCCTGACTAACAGAAATTTTTCTACCATGTCCAGTGTAAAATGCAAAAGCTGAATTTCCAGTGGCTGACGTGGATTGATTTGTATACATCACAGGATTTTTTGCTGTTTGTTTCTCTTTATTTTCAGGTACTTCAATCTTCAGAGAGATATTATTTGATATTTCATTATTTTTAGTTTGTCTATATAAGTTATCATGTAGAATTCTGGGTAGCGTGACAATCTGATTAGAAACAAGTTTGTTTTCTTCTAGAGTTTGATGCATTTTTTCACATTTTGGAACAGTTAGTTCACCTGTGTCACATGTTAATTCAAGCCCTTTACATTCCACTCTGTCCCTTAGTATCTTTGTGCCTTGATGACTAACGTTGATTTCACTACTACTCTGTTTTTCTTCGTCAAAAATATGTTTCACTTTCTCCAAAGATTCCTTTGTAATTTTTACTTTTTTCCCACTAGCCATACAGAAACCCAACACAGTAGAGTTTTTGATCTTTTTGATTTCATATTCTGGTAGTTGCTGGAGAGTCAGTAATTGATTTTCAGTACTAATGGGGCCACTTTCTTTCAATATTTTGTCTTTGACCATACTTGTTTCCTCATGACTTGAAATGTTTACTTTATCCATGTTAAAAAATAATTCAGAACTCAAGGAGTCTGAAAAGCTGTTCAATTCCTTTTCTGTACATTGGTCATCAAAGAAATTAGTAACTTTATTTAGTGACTCTTTGGAGATTTTGATATTTTTCCCACTTGCAGTCTGAAAGGATAAATCAAAAATGTCAAAATATTTTATGTTTTGTTCCATCTTACTAGCAGCTGATACCTCTTTATTTGAAGCATTAACATGAAATGTTTCTTCAGCTTTCACAACTTCCAAACAAGTTAAATCTGATAAACCTTCTTTAATTAGAGTGTTTCCCTCTTTCATACTCTGGCTAGATAATTTTTGAGGTATGCTGTGATCAATACATGGCAAGTCCTTTTTATTTTTATGACTATACACTGTATCATTTTCACTTGAATCACTGTCAGCAGTTTCTACATTATAGATGTTTCTGCTCCCACCAGTAAATCTGTTACTTTCATCTTCTTTACTGCTTTTATAATCTTCAGTCTTTTCTTCAACAAGATCAGCAGTGATCTCATTATTATTTTGTAATGTTATTTGACATTTATCATTTTTCTCATTATTATAATTTTCTATCTTACACACTGAAACAACAGAATCAATATATTTACTTGAAGAGAAATTCCCTGGACCTACATCTGCAGAAGTTTCCTCACTAATATTCTCAATGTCACTGAACAGTTTGATGGCTTTTTGCAGGGCTTCACTAGAAACATTCAGTTTTGTTCCAAGAGCAGAATAAAAGCCACTAAACTCCACTTCATTTTTACCTGTTAAATAGGCAGAAGTATTTTTTTTGTAGTTGGTTTTCAATAAGCAAGCAAACTTTTGCTTAACTCCAACTTCATCTTCAAATTTCTTTTCGTTTACCTGACAGGCCAATGGGGCATTAACTGTGAGCTGAAGAGAAGCATCTTTCCATCCCTTTGAAGTAGGACTCAAGACAGTCATCTGATTTTTAGACATTTCTAATGTATTATTTTGTGGTATGAGGCTTGGCTTCTTAAACTGTGTAAATTCAAATTGACTTCCTGATTCTTCCAATATAGTTGAAAGTTCAGTTATTTCTGCCTTTTGGCTGGGTGTTAAAATAAGGTTTGAATAAAGATCTCGATTTAAAGATAAAACTGGAGATGTGTGACTATTTTCACTATCAGAAACAAATATGTTACCCTGTACGAACCCATGTAGAATATTAGTTGACTGTAAATCAAGTGCATGAGGTTTACTTTGTTTCTTCTGATTATCTAATAAGGGATTTATAATCTCAGCATCAGCCAACCCAATAGGATGCTGTTCTTCAATATCTCTGAAGAGCATTTTACTTTTTCTAAGATTGTGTTCAGAGAGTTTTATCTTTTTATTGGAAGCTGTTTTGAAGTCATTTCCAAAATCATGATCTGAAATTGGATCTGAGACTCCTGCTCCTTTATTCATAATGTAATCATTATTTATACTTAATTTTACATTTGTCTTCAAGGAGTTATCAGACTTCAAATCTTGAACTAGAGTCATATTGTATTGTTGCTTTACAGTGTTTCTTTTCTCTCTAAGATCATGGACTACATCTGATGAAGCAAAATCTCTTGTAATCAATACCTGCATTGCTTGCTTGTCATCTATGTCTATACACGTGTTAGAGTTCTTGAGAATGCATTTGCATTCTTTTACATGACTGAGGTCTGCCTCCTGAAATTCTTTACTGTTTTCTAAAACAGGGATATTTCTTTCATTAGTTGGAAAGACAAAGTTTTCCTCATTGTCTGGGAAAAGTTCTTTAGAATTTGGATTGATAGTTATTTTTGAAACTAAAGCAGAATCTTCTTGGTCTTTTTGGGTTACTGTGAGATTTTGAATTTGGTTCAAATGTTCCTTCATAGGTGGTAACTCAGCTTTTTTAGGATTTTCATTTAAAACACTTATTTCTGGATTCTTTTCAATGGGAATATATTTGGTTGATTCAAAACGACCTTTATCATTCTTACATTTTAGTTTATCTGACATCTTATATGATTCTTTTGTTGTAGAATTCTCATCTGGGCTTGACAGAGGAACCTTGGAGCTCGGAGTTAAAATGGCGATATTATCATGGACATATAAAAAGCTTTCCTGGGACTGAAATTGAATATTAGTATATTCCACTTCTATATGTGAACGTGCACGGTGACAAGCTGCAGGTAAGACCTCTTTTATATATGAAATTCTTTGGCATTTTGGATCATCTTCACAATGTCCTTCCTGTAAGTCTGAATGGCAATTAGTTTCTGTAGCTTTAAATGACTGTGTTTTTTCCTTACTAATTTTTAGATCTTGATAATCAAGTTCTTGAAATACTTTTTTAGAAGAAATGCTTTCATTATAGGAACATTTTCTCATATTCGTCCCAAAGGAACTAGTTAAGGACCAAGTTGGTTCTTCAGAATTATTCTGTATACTTTTTTTTTTGACAGAGTAATGCAATGAACCTAAAAAAGATACAAAGAAATAAAGTATTATCAAACACTTACTAAATATGTTCATTAAGTTAAAAGGTAGTGTCTAAAATGAGAATTATATGAAAAGTAAGAAATGTCAAATATAAGATTGAAACAGCATTATATTCTTTACTTTGAAGTGATTAATTTTCCAACCAAAGATAAGTAGAAACTAGTATGTTTTGTTGATTTTTGATGCTAGTATTTTTATAATATGCATAAACTTAATAAAAATTAGTACTTAGTTAAAAAAAGCAGACAACTATCACAATTATGATTCAAAATAATTTTATAGCAAAGTAAAACTGGAGAAAATTTATAACTAATATTTGTGTGGTAAGAGACAGAAAAGGAAGGAAGAGGAAAGAAATGTTCATACCAAACATTTCCTTTAATTCAATCTTTCATATGGCAGAGGGGGGAATCAACTTTTGAAAATTAGATCTACACATGAAAGATGACCTAATCTCAAACATAAGGGCAAACGAATTCAACTGCTCTATTTGGTTAATTTTACTGACCATCTAAATTTCTTATGAAAAAGCCAAACTAATTATGTTTAGTGTCGGGGATCGAGACCAGGACTTTGCCTCCTATGCACAAAACACAAAACAACACTTGATCGGAACTTAGGGTAAACATCCTGGTTGAGAATGCAGCACACCCAGAAAACCAAATCGTGGGAAAAGGCTGCAGCTCAGAACCAGAGACCTGAGGATACACCGCAGACCTGTTGCTGATCTTTGTCCCAGCAGCCCCGACAAAGCCCTGGATATAAACTGAGACAACACAGCTAGGTGAGTG